AAGGGCCCGCGCCGCGAGGGACTCGAAGATGAAGCTATGGGATGTGGCGGCCGTCTGCGTGCTCCTGCTCAGCGCCGTCTCCGCCTCGCCGCTGCCCGCCGGTAAGACGCCTCCCGAGGGGCCCCGTTCAGTGCTAGAGGGGCCCGAAGACGATCACGCCCTGCCGCCTCCCTATGCCGGGCAAAGCCACTGTAAGAACCGTTCCCCTTCGCAGCCGCCGCCGCCGCTGTCGCTGTTCGTGTGCGCGCCTCAGGAGCCGCGCGGTGCGGCCCGGCCCGGGGGCCCCGGGGCGGGGGAGCTCTCTCTGCCGGCTCCTCGTCCCGCCGGGGCCTCCTGCGCCCCCGCTTGATCCAGCGGAGGTGTCGAGGCAGGGCTTCTGCCCTGGGGCAGGCGGGGAAATAACCGCGCAGGGTTTAAGAAACTGACTTGGCGCAGTCGGGGTAAGCTTGTCTGTAGACCGGCTCAGAGTAAAACGGCTTACCCTCAATGATGCCTGCCTAATACTAGGTCCCTAACAACAGCAGCTAAAGCACTTTCCAGGGAGCAGGGCTGCTGTTGGGTTGCCACCGGTGCATTTTAAAGTAGGAGGAGCTGGTAGAGCTCAGTACGCTGGGGTAGAACAGGCAAACGAATCTTACAGGGGTTCCCTTCCCTCTTACGGGACCGGGATGAAATCAACAAAGGTTAAGATTGCCCCTTTGGAGAGGAGCAGCTCATGGTTTGAACTGGTGCTTACCTGCCTCTTGCCTGGAGTGTATGCTCTCCACCTGTGGTCAGAAATACCGCTGGATAAAGAAGTTTATAGCACAGCTGGACTTCAGCTCTGCACTAGAATAAGCCATGGATCCTGGAAGACCACTAGATGCGAGGTCTCCCTCACTGCAGTTATTCCCTGGGACTGCCCCTTTCCCACACTGCACAAGCTGTGTTCTTTATCTGGTCTCTTCTCTCCTCTCCTTCTCATTTTCTTCCTAGTAGACTCTTTCCTGTGCCAGCCTCTCCTTCCAAGCCGAGCTTCCTGCTATTCCCTAAATGACACCTACCTATCATTTTCTAAGCCTTTATCAGAGGGAAGTTGGCCAAAAACGTCTCCCTCGTGTTTTCTTCTGGCAGAGGCTGCTGAGGCTTTAGGATGCTGTGCTCTTACCCTCTACAACAAAGGGTGAAGAAGGCACTTGTGGATTGGGAGATACCCCGGGACCTCAGATCTGCTTTGCTTGCAGTTGTGTCAATCACCTTCATGCTGACTTGCAGCAGTGCTAGTTCTACAGGAGGAAAAAGAGTGTTAAGAAGAAAGCTGTTCTAGTGGATTTACAACAGTGACAGAAGTTGGCAGTGCTGGGTGGAGGAGACATCCGTGCTCCACTCTTCTGGGGCTGACAAATGAGGCCTTGAACTATTTTTAGAAAATCAACTCATGCCTTTAAAAATGTTATTCCTTATGAGCCATTCTCTCCCCAGCAAGTGTAGGAGACAGGTAGCAGCAGTATTAATCACTTGGGCCTAGTCTGTACAAACTGTTAGTTGTTTCCCATGTCTTGTTCCTGTTTGGATACCCGATAGGAAA